TGCGTGATCCCTGTTACACTTATTATGCTCATTTCTTTACATTCTTTTCATCAATAAGAGGAAGTTTTGAGATGCACTCTTGTCCTTCTTAAGCCCATTTGACCTTTTTATCTTCTGACGACTTGATCTAGCTTCCTTTTTCTCGAAAGGTTTTGAAGTTTTCTTCAAAAACCAGGCAATAATTCTATGTACGTCTAGGATTTATCTGTCTATTACAGATTCCAATTTTACACTGTCATTTTCTCTTAAGACTTCCATCATTTCTACTTTATCAAGCAGTTTATCCTTATTAGCTGGTAGTCTAGAATCTTGGTTTTTGTTGGTGTTTTATTCCGGAAGATAGAACTTGTCAGCAGGCAGTACAGAATTTATCAGCAGAATCTGATGAATAGAAATTGTTCTAATAATTTACATCTCTCATAACACTGCTTTCATATTTCCAAGCCAGTTTTGTCACTTTTTTAAAAAAATCACATTTGGTTGTGTGAAGAGTCTGATTATATGGCCACCAGTGTGATATTCTTTCTCTTTTAAACTCTAAATATTCTTCACCACGTTTCATCCCTGGGTAGTGGCTTTCCAGATGTGTGCACTTTTTCTTGACAGAGCATGCTCTTTCGTCGTGTTATTTTCACTGGATACTGTAGAATGTCTTTTGGCATAAAATCTAACCTACCGAGGTTTGGTAGTGACTTTTAAGTCATGTTCACCATTAGTTTTAAGTGATGATGAAGAGAACTGAAAATAAAGACACAAGTATGTAATTCTAATATGGATAGCTATGTGTTTTGCGAATTCTTTGTAGTGCTTTTTGCATTTCCATCTAGATAATAAAAGCTGTAGGTATTTGTTCCTGGCCCTTACAGTTTTCTTTTTTTTTCAGGTTATTTTCTCATATAGTTTTGTACTTATTATTCATCTCTTGGCGTGAAGCTTGGGAAAGTAGTAGCTTTCTTGCTTCTTTTGGATTTTTTAAAATTCTCTGTTGGATTTTGGAGACTGTCCTACATACTGACCTCCCCTTTTCTCCTTATTTCCCCTCCTTGTTACTTATTTGCTGGGTTAAATGAGCATCTAAGCATCTCTGCATCCAGCTTGTAGCATTTTCTGCTACTGCTCTTGCTTCCCTCTTCTGCTTTTTCAATTTTTATGGCTTTTTTTTTTTGTTTTTGCTATTTTGGGGTTATTTGGTCATGATTCTAGACTTTAATGCTTGTTGTCTGCTTTTGCATTCCTTGGTAAATGGAAAATGTGCCTCCTAAACTTTTTTGAAAGTTAAAACGACTCAGGGAAAAGGTCTCAAGCCCAGTCCCCTCACCCCCAACACACATGTTGTACCACAGAGTTTTGCGGCTGTGCAACAGTTTTTACTAGCAACCTTTTAGGGTAGGGCCAACTTCTGTGGCTGTAAAGATTGAGATAGTAACAAATTTAATACGTACAAGAACACAATTGCCTTACAGTCTGCTGTTCTCTTACCTGAGATATAAATAATATTTGCCAAGTAAATAAAAAACATTGTCTCTGAGGGGTGAATACTTATCTTTTTCTGAGCTTTAATTTTTTTTTTTCAGAATTATAAAGTAGTGAGAGGAAGAGCAAAGTTCAAATCAATAGCGATGAACATTTCCTATCCTCTATTTTCCTGCTAATGACTGAAGACAAGTACTAATTAGAGAAGCCTGAACTGTCTGGATTTCTGGTTGTAACAGATGGTACTGTGTGAGACCTATTCATAGTGCCAGAGAGGTGTCTGGGTTGTTCTTAGCTACCTTTCCTTCATCTTGATCCTGTCTGAGGACACTTATATCTGCCTGCTTTTCTTTGTCCTTTACCCTGTTCTTTCTAATGTCAGGAGATACATTCTCTGCTGTCCTTGCTGAGGACTCCTGTGATATTTTTTTTGAAACAGGGTGTTTCTATATAGTTCAAGCTGGTCTTGAACACACTGTGTAGCCCAGGCTGGCCTCAAACTCATGGCGATTCTCTTGCCTCCATAGTGCTGGCAATACAGGTTCCACTACACCTGGTGTGCTGGGTTTACAGGCATGCTTCATCACTTCTTGTGATCTTTTAAAATCTTTTATAAATTGTCTGAAAGTATTTCTTTTGGTTTATACTTCAGATATTTTCTTGTCTTGTTAACTTTGGTAGCTAACTCTGAGAAAGGTTTAGTTTTGTAAATAGACATTTATAAAACTGTAAAGTGCTTATATTGTTTTGACAAATGGTGCACATGCATTTTCTACAATATGAATATTATTCAGCGTGGAAGTGATTATGTTTAACCGAGTTCTCACCTTCAAAAGAAGGACATATTTATTCTATTTGTTGTGAAATTTATGATGTAATTAGATGTCTTGATTTGGTGCTTTTTAAGGAAACTTTCTCTGGTGGAACAAAAAAATGAATGAAATTGATTACTGTCAACATTTCCAGTTTAAGTAAGGACAACAACTTGCTCCTACTCATCTTCTTCTTTCTCCTACTACTCTTCCTCTCCTTTTTTTCTCTGTCTTAGTGACATTTTTTGTTGCTGAGACAAAATACCCAACACCCAAAGTTAAAATAGGAAAGATCGCATTTTGTTTTAGATCGCATTTTGTAGAGGTATTAATCCATAGTCAGCTGGCTCTAAGGCAGGGCAGCATGGCAGAGGGACATGGCAGGGGAGATACAGTCCATGGCAGGGCAAAAAGTAGCCAGGAGCAAGCCTCCTTTTCTCTTTTATTCCATTCAGGTTACAAGCCTATTTATTGGTTGGTGCTACTCACACCCAGGGTGGGCCTTCTGGAATATACTAAACCAATCAGTGGACTAATTTAGTTACCACACATCCTTAATCCATACTCACACATCTAGAGGAAGCCACTTTCGAAATGCCCCAGCCATGAGTCCATGAAGCTTTAGGGGGATATCTAGATATAAGCCATAACACGGCCCCTCGCTTTTCCTTTTCTTTTTCCTTCTCCCTCTCTGTATTATTCCTTGCTGTTGGTGAAGGATAAGGTAGCGGGTTGAATTAGGATGTTGCTGCAATAATTCAAGCAAGGGATCTGAAGGTCTGACTTTCTGGAGTACCATTAAGCATGGAAAGTCATTTGCATTATTATCTTCAAACACATAGGCTGAAAAGGTTTCCATAGTTTATTTCATAATGTTTTAATGCTTTTAGTGTTTAGAGATTATGGCTTTTCTTAGATTCTCTATTTTCTTTTTAACTTGCCTTCTTTGATACATGTCTAATTGCAAAAATCATTACCTGCTTCATTTATGTATTTCCTAGTTTTGGAAACCATTTATTTGGTGTCTGTTACATTTTTTAAAGAATAACATTTATGAGGAATTGGGGATGTAGGTCAGTGGTGGAGCATGTACTTTTCCTGTCCATATACAATCCCCAGAATCTCCTTAAAAAGGAAACAAAAATAGCTTGTATTAGATCTAATAGTTATTATCATTTCAATATGTTTCAATTTTTAATAGGCATAGAAATAAATGCGCTGTTTGACCCGTGCTCATGTGCTGATATATCATACTGCAGTGTGTATAATTAATAATATGTTAATCAAAAAAGCAAAAGAAAGAAAAAAAGAAATAATTGTGATGAAATAGCTATCCATAAATATTTTCTTAATTTCTTGTACATATAAGTAAGCAAACTTATACAAAATTTGTACTTTGTGAAATATTAAAGTATGAAACTCATTTTTTAAAAAGAATTCTAAAATAGAGAAAATGAGTTTATAGAAATACTCTTCTTGTGTAAATAAATGTTTCATTTAAGCAAATGGTTATTTGCTTTGGGTACTAGCTTTCAGCCACTATAATAAAATACCTGAAAAAATTAAAAAGAAAGGAGTTATTTTGGCTTATGATTTTAGAGGTTCCAGTGCATGAGTAGGTAGATCCATTGCCTCCTTATAGGCCTACATAGACCTACATAGGCCTCTTGTGGGGGTGCTAGATGGGAAGAGTGAGGAACATGTGGTGGATCAAATAGCTTACTCCTGCCTGGGAAGAAGGCAACAAACACAGAGTGGCCTGAGTCCCATAATCCTTTTTAGAGCTGTAGCTCCACTGATCTGCGGACCACTGATAAGGCCCTGCCTCTTAAAGATTCCACTACCACCCAATAACACTATCCCAGGAATCAAGCACTACCCTCTGACACACATTTGTCATTACTCACCATAGAAATGTTGAGATTTGGTTTTTTCTTTTTTTTCCTTTGGTGCTTGTCATTCTGAATTTTTTATGTTGATGCAAGAAGGCCAATTTTTTAAAAAGTTCTGAAATAACAGATTGACTTGATATATTTCATATTACTACAAAGTGCCCTTATGCTCTGTGAATGACTTAAATTCTAATTAACTTGAGTATTTCTAGTTATTAATATTTTCTTCTTGAAATTTCCATATTAAGATTAATTATCCATCTTTAAGTAAAATTATTCCAGTCATTGCAGTTTTATCATGATCCTAGGAAACTTAACAACGGGAATAATTAAAAACTGTTGCAAATGGCATTTGTATCTATATTTAAAATGTTCTTCAATTGATCAAGCAGATGTTCTTACAGATTTTTGTCTTTGCGATAATAAATTTCCCATTAATTTTGAAAATCTGTGTTTAAGGAATGTGCTTTCAAATTTCACATAGCTGAGCTACAATTTGTGAAAGTTCAAGCAGCTGTACCAACAACCATTTGATAAATTTGTAACTAAAGCTCTTTTAGGAACAGACTAAGTACTAGAGCTTTGTGTTCTGTATTTTATGTTCAGACACGTGTACTTACATTTCTTCTCTTTTGTGGGTTTGGAAAGTATGGTATACATTGCACAAATACATCTCTGTGTATAGAAGCATGTACATATTCTCATATGTATTTTTACACTGTACAACTAGTCTAAGTTGGGAGTGAAGATACATATACTTTTTAAAAAAACCAAAGCATTTATTTTAAGCTATCACCATCTAAAGTTTTCTCTCTTTGTCTAGGTTGAAGAAATTGTGGATATTGGGTCATTTGCTCCGGAAGATATCCATATTCCTAAGATTTATGTACATCGCCTTATAAAGGGAGAAAAATATGAGAAAAGAATTGAGGTAATTATCTTAGCTTTTTTGTCAGTATGTATAGATGTGATCACCAGAGTTGTATGTCCTTGAGACCATTCCAGAGGATGAGGTTGGAGCTGAGCAGAAAGTCTTGCTTTGGATCTGAGTAGGAGCTTCTCCTGTGGCCATCATAAGGGAACGTGATTGTGTTACTGTCAAGTCCAGGCATAACTTGTGTTAACAAGGTGCATATTTCCATATCTCATAAGTCTCTAGCCTGTGTTAATCAGGTTTCTGTAATAGTTCTAATTTACCATGCATAATTTTGGCTGACAGAATAATCAGGTCTTTGGTGGTTTTTACCCCTGTTGTAGTCTTAATTTTCAGTTGCTTACGAATGTCTGTCTTGAAATTGCTTTGTACTTTTATGCAATGCAGAAAGAATATAATGTTTAATTTGTTTTGGGCTCTGGGCAGCAGTCAGTATGAGTTTGGGAAGAATTGAGTACCAGGGATATTGAAGATATTCCAAAGCCCGTGAGAGGATAAAGAATAACCAGCTGGGCGAGAACTGTTGTCAAGTTTCAAAAGTATCTAGGGATCAGCAACAGAACAGACATACAGTAAGGGATATGGGGAAACTGACTACTTACTACTCTGTGGACATCAAATAGAAGGACACTCTGAAATCCAAAAGTGTTGTCTGGGACCTTGGGAAAGCATGGGGCATTTGCAAACAGAAACCAGGGGCAAGGAGATTTAGTAATGGAGATAGTTGTCTGGCTGGCTTCTGGATATTTCCATGAGTCTTGTGATGCGCACGTGGCAAAACTAGTCTAAATTCTGCAGGTGGAAATAGGCAGTTGGCAGTAGCAGTGCTTGGTCAGCACTTTCTGACAACCCTGAGAAACAGATTTCCAAGGTCGGTTCTTCTCTTTGTTTTGACTCAGTCTTTGGACACCTGAGAATTCAGTTCAAGTCTTATCAGTAACAGTAGCAGCAGCCAGCATGACAGTCACTGGGGGATTACGTGCTTCAAAGAGACAGAACGGGTGTATATCTTCTTCAAATAAATCTGACCTCTTTCATTTACTTCTGTAAGAAGAATTTCTTCTTCAAATGTTACATGTTACATGTTATTTTTAAAAGAATTTTTCATTATATACTTTGGGAAGCAAAGGCAGAATGATTGCAAGTTCAAGTCCCCTCCTGGGGAACTTAACTGACAGTGTCTCAAAAGTTAAAATAATTAAATAAAGGGGTTGGGGATGTAGCTTAGTGGTAGAGCACCCCAGGGTTCGATCCCCCTTGTTACAAAAAAAGGGAAAACCTACCCATTACATATCTGCCTCCTAGTAGTAATGAGAATTAATTTTTTCGAGAAGAATTTTATATTGTAGCAATGAAAATTACAGAGCATACCTTCAACCACGATTAATTTATTTCTATTTATTTTAAAGCGTTTATCAATCCGAAAGAATGGTGATGAAAAAGCCAAATCGGATAAGCCTGCAGATAACGTAAGGGAACGTATCATCCGACGGGCAGCTCTTGAGTTTGAGGACGGCATGTATGGTATCCTTTTTGAAGACGTAGCTCTTACTTTTCCTACACTGATTAGGCGACAAGGTCTTCTCAGTAGTTGTTTACCTACAGTCCACAGTAACTTTTAAAATATAACATGAACCAAATGTTGCCAAGGTATATGAAGTTGGGATTTTAATATGTTTGCCTTTTTGAAACAAAATGGCAACCTAGAATTCACTTACATATTTTCTAGTATACATGGATTTCAGTACAATTTGACTTTGAGGTGTAGGTTACTTGGAAGAGAGCTTACCCATGATGAAATTTTCAAATCTCTTATTATTCATAATAACAAGTGATGTTTATTTTCTGTATACTCTGACATTTTCACACTAGTTGAAATATAAAATTCAACTTTTTAACTAATCACTGCTTCCCTACGTAAGGACTGTGTGCGTGCACCTTTTCATGGCTCATATTTTTTTAGGGATAGTTCATGAATGATTCAAATTTTATGAAAAAGAGCTTGAATAGGCAGGATTTAGAACAATTGGTATTTGGAGTAAATGCATTTATTAGCAGTAAGACTGTTTACCATCTTGCTAATTTTTAATACACTAAAACATTGAACTGTACAGTAAAAATATAAATAGTGTATGATAAATACTTTTTGAGTGGTGGCTTTATTTTTCCTATTTTTTATAAACTTTCATCTACTCATTTTTCTTTATTTTTGAATTTATGTTTTGTGATATGGTGAGAATTCCCATAGGGACTGAGAGTTACGGTGTTACCTCTCATCTGACTCCTTCCTAGGCAAGATATATAGTGAACCTTGATGTAGGGGAATGTCATTGGGCTTTCTCTCAGTCCTAATCAGTTGACTTAGCACTGATACTTAAACACAGATTACAGTACAGACTTTTAGATAATAATGACTTCTAGTTGTTTTTGTTTGATATTTATGTATTGTGTATGAAAAATACTGACCACTCACTTTATCTAACTTGTCCTTTCATATTACCTATTCTTTTTCAACCCGAAGTACAGAGTTTTTCTCTCTGATACGTGATTTATTAAAGAGTATTTTTAAAAACTGAGACGATTATAATGTATGATGAAAGAGTTGAGATGTGAGGATGGTAATTTGGGTCGCTTTTCCTGAAAATACCTGTTGATAATGGAATTATAATCTCAGTGTGTTCTGTGCATGACTGTGAGAAGTGAAGTACAAATTGCCACATTAGACTGTGATTTGCCAAGAAGTGAGCGATGTAGCTGTCATTATACCTTCATAGTCTGTGTCCATAGGAAGTGATCTGTGTCACTAAGTTGTCCTTCTGGCCTTTGTAGTGGTTGTTTTGTAGTTTATTATACAGTGGCAAACACAGATTTTTTTTTCTGGCCTTGATTCTTAGATTTCCTTGCAAATAGAATTTATCAGAGGGCCATCTTCTTTGTATTAGTTTTGGTGAAATCTTCTGTGTGTACTGACAGTTGACAGCAATGGATAACAGCTTCAGGCAGTGCAAGTATTTCTATCCGTTCAGCCTGCCTGTGTTGAGGAGCGGGATTAAGCCCACATGAAGGCATATAAATCAGGGTTGAACCTATTTTGATCATCTACGAGAGTGAACCCTCGGTTAGCCCTTTCATGCCTTAATACAGCTGCTTTTCATGTGGTCTCAGTTGTCTCTGATGAAACATACTGGCTCCCCCACCTTCCTCTTTATGACTCCAAGAAGGTTCTGTTACCAATGGGTGTTACACAGTGACCCAAAGAAATTGATAACTTTAGACAGATATTTTGATATCTTTGGAAAACCTGAAAACTTTAAAATAGTATCCTTTTTTGGAATATTAAATTACCTGTATTTTAGCAAGAGTTTTGAATTAGTGAAAATAGATTTTAAACAAAGATCAAGCTATGTTTAATGATATATCAGTCATACATGCATCTAAACTTACTCAGCACATTCATAAAAATCAGTGAGTCTTACACTTTCGTTAAAATGACTTCTGGGGTAGTCTGAAGCCACTTCTTTGATATCCTTATGGGAAAGGATACTATTATTGAGAAATAATATGACTCATTGGACATTTTCTTTTTTGGAAAATGACAAACTAGTGCCCAAGCACGATGGGAGAATATATCCAGTAATTACATTCACAGCAAATTTTCTGTAAAGATGACTTCTCTTCAGATTTATAGGTGCAGAAGTTTATGGGATAATGTCTTTCTTTGCTATGCTGGCCCTTAACACCTTTTTCTAGCTAATTTGGGCATAGGAATCCCTCTTTTGGCTAGCAACTTTATAAGCCCAAATATGACTGTTCATCTTCAAAGTGAAAATGGAGTCCTCGGTTTGGTAAGATGGAAATTAACATTTTCATTAATTACAAGTATGGTATGGGTTACTTATAATTTGTCAATTACAGCATTTCTAATGTTTTATTTTCCAGTACATATTAACTAGTAATGCAGTGAAATATGGGAAATGTATATTAGTTTATAATATATAAGTGATCATGGACATATAGTTGATACTGAATAAATGAGGTGATAATCATGACCATTTTCAAAGATACAAAAATGTTGTGTCTGGATAAAAGCAGATTCCTGTTGAAGTCAAAGACTTCAGTTGTTTCAGGTACCTTAAAATTTGTTAGTCAATAATCAACTCCTCATTTCGAAGACAAAGGAAATAACTTTATGTGAATTATCCATAGTTAATTTGTAAAGGGAAATTCACATATGTAGATATAAAACAGTTGACACTTCAGTTTATTTACAAGGTAATTGTTGGTCTCTTAAAAGTATGTAAAAATGTTATAGCCAATACTTCCTCTTTCTTGGCTTCGTTGTATGCTCCTTTCTTTTCCTATTTTTCGCTCTCCCCTCTTTAATAGTATTAGGTAGTGAAATTACTTGCTATATTCAGGTAGGTAGAATTGTGCAATAAAATAGATACAGAATTACCTGAGGATGTAGCTTAGAGGTAGAAGACTTGCCTAACGTTTGTGAGGCCCTAAATTTGATTCCCAGCATGTACACACACACACACACACACACACACACACACACGTGCGCGCAAGCGAGCCCACAGAGAGGCAGAAGAAAGGGAGAGGGAGAGAGACAGAGAGAGAGAGAGAAGAAAGAGAAACTTCCTGAGGCAATTGCAAAGGGAACATAAAAATATCCATCCATGTAGAGAAAGATAATATTAGAACTCCAAATATAAGCCTTTAAGTTTTGCACACTGGAAAAATGAAACTGCCTCTCCAAGTCCTTCTAGACAGAAAATGTATCTGTGTAGTTGATATTCATTGATCCTACTGGAAGAGTTTAATGAATAACAATGACTGCATAATAGGTACTAGTAATTATTTTTGTTTTGTTGATATGTATGTCTAATAGCATAATGTTTCTTTCAAACTGAAAACATCTAGAAAATGTTTATCTGCCTAGTTATAATTATTAGTGTAGAAAAGTTTAATCAATATGAGTAACATAGCCGTGAAAAAGATGGAATTAGTTTTAAAAGGTTCACCTCAAGTCTTTGGATAATAATTGTACTGGGATTATAGGAAAGTTATTACATTGAATTTTGGTGTATGAGTCAGGAAAATCTTGTTTTAGTAACTGAATACGTGCTGTATTTGACAGGGCCCATATCCATTAGAACATGAAGCTGATGCAGATCTAATCAATGCAGGTAAAGTAACGTGTTTCATATTATTTCTCTTTTGCTGTTACCCTGATTCAGTGCTATACAATAACAAGGGTTTGGACTCAATTCTTTGTCTTTTCCTAGAGACTGCTCCACTGTATTTATCATTGAGAATTGAGATAAGCCTTTCTGGTCCCTTTTTTTTTTAATTGACAATAGGTAAAACAGGATTTCATAACAAAATAATAGATGAATAGCAATAGTTAATTCATTGCATGTTGTCATCTTCAACGTAGTTACTCGGAGTACAAGATGTAGGCATAAAAAATTCTCCAGTTGATATTAACATGAACCTTCCTTTTCACTGAATTAAGAAACACCAGTAGTATAGCTATCTTGCATTTTTCTCCCTTTTCCCTTCCTTTTCTCCCTTTTCCTTGCCCCCACTCCTAGTTCCTTTTTTCTTTTAAACAATTACTTCCCATTTCATAATATCTATTGTACATTCTAGACCTTATCATACCAGGAAGACAATATGATATTCACACATGTGAGTCCAATATATTTCACTTATGAATATGGTCTCGTCCATTAAGTTGCATCCATTTACCTATAAAAGTCTCAAGTTTATCCCTCTTTATGGCTGAGTAGTATTCCATTATACCAAATCTTTTTTATCCATTCCTTAGTTGATGTGCATTTGGGTTGTTTCCAAGATTTAGCTATTACAATTGTGCTGCTATAAACATGGGTACACATATATCACTGTGATATGATGTTTTTTTAATTCTTCCAGGAAGATACCCAGAAGAGGAATAGCTGGGTCAAATGGGCCTTCTTATAATCCTAGCTTTTTGAGGAATCTCTTCAAAAAGATTTCCATAGTGATTGTACTCGTTTACACTCCCACCTGCAGTAGGGAAGGGTTTCTTTTTCCCCTCAGCCCCTCCAGAATTTGTTATTGGTTGACTTTTTAATGATAGCCATTCTTTCTGGGGTGAGATGGAATCTGGTCCCTTTTTGAAGTCTCCTCTTCTTCAGAGATGGCTAAGATAATGGAGGAAATGCAATTGGAGACAAACTGATAGAGAAGCTTTGATGTGTTAGTTGAGGTCCTGCATGTACATAGAGAATGTAGAGAAATGGGATTATTGAGAAAAATTAAAGGAAAGAGCAATTTATAAGGGTATGGACAAGATCAAGGGAAGCCCAGATTGGACAGTGAAATCCCACAGGTAGTTATGATTGCCTGTGGGCCTCAAGAGCAGTGGTAGGAGAGGGTCACTTAACAGGTGCTTTAGGCTTTGATAGAAGACCACCAACTTACGTCAACCTTGGTGTGGTGTGTTATGGTTTGTGTCTGTGTGTCCCCCCAAAGCCTCATGTGGTGATGGGGCAGGCTTTTAGAGTTTGATTGATTGTGGGTGTGAGAGCTACGCCCTCCCTGGGGTGGATAGTTTGTATATGTAAGAGAGAGGAAGAGGCTGCTTGCTGCCACTCCCCCCTTGTGTGCTTGTTGCTTTTGCTGTGTTCTGCTGCCGTAAGCTGTAGCCCACCGCCATGTGCCACTCTGCCTTGTAACCTTCCAAGTATGGACTAAAACCTCCACAAACTGTAAGCAAAATAAACCTTTCCTTCCTTAATTTTGGGCATTAGGTATTTTGTCTCAGCAATGAGAGAAAAGTAACCAAAACATGGTGTAGGATTTTCTCTGCTGGTTCTCTAGCCTATGCCTCTCATAGGCCAATCCTAAGTCAGAATAGGTTAGCTGTCTCTGATGGAGAAGGTGGGAGTGAATCTGTAGAAGCAGAAAGAAAATACATGGCGCTAGGGATTTTATTAGTGATGCATACTGTCCTCTAGTTCTCATTGGAATGAGAGAGCATCTTCCAAATGCACATAGGTGTGTAAGGATGTACTCTACCACTAAAACCCAAGCATGTGAGCAAGAGTAGAGTTTGTCTGAGTCAAGGCCTCTAGCTTTATCTTCTTCAGTTTCTATAATCATGTGTTTTGCCTTTTATTAGTAGTCTATTGTTTGAGACTTAGAGTTAATGTATTTGCACTCTACATGTACGTCTCTACAGGAGAAATAAAAGCTTGGACATTTAGCCATTGTCTTTGCCTGACCTTGAGGCAGCACTGCCATAATATTGGGGCTACACCTCATCCTTGGAGTGGAACAGCCCGTACTTTCTATTTTCTAGCATACTTTTCTGCACTGGTTTTATCCATTGTACCCACAGAAAAGTGTTACTCTTACTTTGTGTTAAAAATAATGTGTGTAAATCTCAGAAGCAATATGAACTGAACATAAAGGCCAGCTGCCAAGTAGAACTGATGCTTGATACGTGGAGTTTGGGAAGTAATACAGCTTCTGGTTGAATAGTTGAATTAGTTAACGCAGCTCAACTCTAAAAAGCTCACTGTGATAAAGCAATGACATTTAACCAAGGGTATAATTTAATTGTCCTGTACTCTTTAGTAATAGCTCATTGACCTGTGAAAATATTTGCTGCTTGGTTTAATTAATTTATGATGTTAGTGAGTTATTTGTAAAATGAATAACTCCATTTTCCAAATTTCAGGCTTGAGTTCATAAAACCACTTTCCTTAGAAAAGTAGTTAATCTTTTCAGTGACACTGTTAGACGGTAGGCATTTCTGATTCCATTGAGCTTAAATATAGCTCAATCCTAATGAAGCCACCAGATTTATGTTGCAACTTATGAAATGCCACATATAATCTTTAACTGCCATACTTTGTAAAATAAGAATTCATTGCTAATGGAAAGCCAAGCTACAAATTAGTTAGAACATTTAGTAATGTTCTAACTCTTTTACTGAATTCTTTTTTGAGATTTTTACTACTTTTGATTTTGGAGCTATACAAATCAGGGAAGAAATAATTTGAATTGGAGAATCTAAAATAAGAATTGGTGATTTCCTCCACTTCCCCACATTACCTGGAAGATCAGTGTGTTGGTTATGTTAATTTGAAAGAAATCTGTTTGAAGAATATGAAGTGTTATGTTTTTAAGTACATTCATTGTTTCAAAGTATCAAAATGATAATAGAACTATTTCCAAGGATTCCTTTCTCTAAAAGGAGTTAATTAAGCTAAGTAGTAGTATCATAAGTTTATGTAAAACTGCATTACCTCTGGGCCGGCATTCTAGGATTTAGAGGGTATTCTGTCACGTGTGTCTTATCACTTGAACCTCAGGTGAATCCTAGTTATACAGATTGGGAAGCTGAAGTCCAGTGAAGTAAAGTAATTGGGCGTGGGTAACATTTAGGGACTGAATTCCCAAAGTCTCCTGCTCCTCATACTTGGTCTCTTTCTTTATAGACTGAGTTACATCAGCTGGTGATCTGAATTTTACAAAGGTGCAGACAGCAGTGTTTAGAATACTTCAAGGATCCTGTGGATATATGGGCTCCAACCAACAACCAATGAAATTTTGAAATTTCTAATACTAATGTACAGTTTGCATCTTTCTAATACTATTTTCTAATATTAATACACAGTTAATACTTTTAATGACTTATCTTTATAAAAATTGCTTTAGAAAGAATCAGCATGTCTATGAATAGCCCCAGCCCCCTGTCATGCACCTTCTACAGTGGCTTTCAATGGATTTGAGAGAAGGGCATGATTCTGACCTTGAGGACCTTTGGCAAGAGGGTCATACATTTTATTGTCATGCCTGGGAGAGGGAGTGGTACTGGTTTGTAGTGGGTCGAGAGCAGAGATGTTCTTAAATATCCTATGACAGCCAACACAACCTCCCATAGTTGTCCAGTGCCAAAGGTCAATAGTGCTGCAAATTCTGCTTTAGAGGAATCTGTACCACATGTGAAGAGTCATAGGCCTTCAGGCTAAGGTACAAATAGGACAGCCTTTGATATCTTTGTAATTATTGCAGCCAACCTCTCCAGCTTTGTCTTTCACTATGTCACACAAAGACGCCATTGTCTACTCACACTGGGCTACGGGGTGTACTCTGACCATGATTCAGTTTTTCCTTAGTTCGTGCCTCTGCTCTTGCTGTGTCCTTCACCAGATACTTACTTTGCCCTCTTCCTTTTTTATTCCCATCTCCCTACTGGTCGTTTATTGTCAAAATGCCTTATGTCCATCCTTTGAGTTTTAGCTTTTTTGTCTTCTTCCAATCCCTCTGCAGCTCAAAAATTCCCTTCTGAATCTACACATGTTTAGTGCCTTTCTACCATATTTGCCTTATAGTTACTTGCCTATATGTATCTCTTTTGCTGGATAGTAAGGGCCTTTGCTTAGAGAAATATTTCTCAAAGTCCTTAGAATCATAGCATCAGCATCACCGGAGACTTTATAGGAAGGAAATTCTCAGCCCCATCACACACCTACTGCATTAGAAAACTTGGGAGGCTGGTGCAGAGCCGTCTGAAGTTTTATAAGCCCTCCAAGCAATTCTGATGGCTATCAGGTTTGAGAACCAGTAGTTTAGGTGGCTGACGTTTGTTTGTAACACTTCTCAAGGCCCATTGTAGACATTTACTCATGATTGAATGAATGACCTGTTAAATTATGAGGCAAAAGACATGGTAACTGAAACTGAATTACTCTGTTGACCAAATATTGTAAAAAGGTTCAGATACACACAGAAAAATTGGATAAGATAAATTAAGAATAGCCAAATAAAAGAATGATCTTTCTTCGTGTTAATTGTCTTACTGATTTTATTTATATGACTATTTTCAGCCAACATTGGACATTATATTAGTGAATCACGGAATCAGTGTAGGTTTATTTTTATTTAGAAAGTAGCTATTTAAAATAATGACAATACAACAATTAAAGCTAAAACTGCTGTATGATCCAATAATTCCACTTCTAGGAGTATTGGCAAAGGACATGAAATCAGGTGTCAAAGAGACACCTATCTGCACGCTGATGCTCATTGCAGCACTATTCACAGTAGCTAAGTATGGAAATAACCTAAGTGTCCAGCAGCTGGTGATTAGACAAAGGAACAGTCATACATACATAACATACAATGGAATTCATTTAAGCATTAAAAAAGATGATAGTCTCTCCTTTCTGACAACATGGATGAAACCAGTGACTATTATAGTAAGTGAGATAAGTCAGAGCCAGCAAGATACATACCACGTTTTCAGTCATATAAAGGAAAAAAAATATTGATCTCATAGAAGTTGAGAATACAGTGGTAGTTACCATTGTAGGGGAGACAGGGATGGAGAAATGTTGACCAGTGCGTATTAGGTTAAAGTTAGGTAGGAGTGAGAAGTCTTGGTATGCTATTGCACAGTAGCGTGACCACAAAATAGAGTACTGTACTGTGTATTACAAAAAGCTAAAAGAAATGTCGCAGTGATTCAATACCTAGAACACAAACAATAGGAATTTTTATGTTTTGCTCCTTTCTTGTTCTACCAGTTCTTCCTCCTTGACACCCTAACCTCATAGGGTTGGTGAGGATCTGATTTTGTTGGATATAGCAGTTGTTTTAGGATAAGATTTAGTTGTATTGTGGCTGTTGTAAAACCAGAGCCCAGTCAGTCCAGCTGTAAAACCCATGTAAGCCAATTGCTAAGTGCTACGGCACTTACCCCAGGAGCTGCAGTGGCATTGTAGATATGGAGAGGGAGATAATAATAATGACTGTAGTGAAAGCTAATGTTTGAATTTCCAAACAATAGTGCCACTAAAAGTTGGTAATCATCTTGCAGGGGTAATGTTGAATATTGTTAATGATGAAATACTAATCTTCACAGGATAGACAGTTTTTGCTAGATGTACCTATACCCTGTGTCACTGCATAACAACAATTACAATAATAAGGCTAATGTTCCTGAGTAGCAGACTCAGAGTAAGGACTTGTATGTATTCTTTCAATCCATCAATATCATGTGCCTCCCAGAAGTCCCTTCTAACCTTAACAGAAAGTGTTTTCCAAAGCTTTTCAGTTTTAGGATGCTTTCAACGATCTGAAAATATTTCCATCATTTAGAATCAGACTGCTTTGGGGAATTCATATTTCAGTGTGATGTAAATAGGCTTACTCTTTACCCATTCTAGAGCTCACATGCATGAGAATATTAATCTAAGGGCTCGCTTTCAGCAACACTTCAGAAGTTGGGGGTTAGCTTGGGAGCCGGTGCTGCTCACACTACTTCTTGTCCTGATGTATCCTGGAGTTTTTCTGTTCTGATCATTGGAATTACAGCTTTTCTCCCCTCTTTTTGCCTGGCTTATCTTACACTGGGGCATTGCAGTGTGTGTTCTCTGGCAGTTCATTTACCTGTTGCCACGTGGCCCATGAGCACTGTTCTGGCTGAGACCAGAGCTAGTCCTGGGCACCTGAAGCTCCAGACAGACAGGAAATAGATCAAAAGATGAGGGTAGCTTGGGATGACTCAAGTGATAGAGCTGTGTGCAGACATAAGTTCTTTTCTAACTCTGAACTGTTATGAGATGTAAATTTTAGAAGTCCTTCCAAGAGGACCTCTTAGAAGTTAACGTTAAAATTATTGGCCAGTATTATATTATTCTCTGATTTCATCAAAGTCCTATGGTTTTAGTACAAATTTACAGGAGTGTGAGAATAAGATGAATCAGAGAGAGAAAGGAAGGGAAAGGTTAAAAGGAAGAGAGTTCAGCCTTGATGATATTAAGGAATTAGGTGGGTCCTTTTTATATTGCTCATTAGTTTGTATTTTCTCCCCAACATTATTGAGGTGTAATTGACAAATAAAAATTGCATATATTTGATGTATATTATGTAATGATTTTACATACACATACAATTATGAAATGAGTACCAAAATCAGGTTAATTAACAGATGTGTCACTTCATATAGCTACCATTTTTTCTTTGTGTTCAGAACATTTAAGATTTACTTTGTAAGAAAATTTCAAGTATGCCATACAGTATTATTAACTATCTAGTCACTGTGTTATGCATTAGATCCTCAGAACATAAGCATCTTTTTATTAGATAGTTTCTCACTGCAAAAAACTACAATACTTTGGAAGTATATATACTGAAAGAATAAGACTATAAAAATTATTCTGATTATGCAAAGAAACAGATAGGTATAAAATATGTGCAATAATTCTTAAGAATAGTGGGGGCGGATTAAATTTGAATGCTATTTTTCATTGATAGAATTAGAAATTAATGGAGAAATGATAAATATTTTGAGTTAATGTAGAGCTAGAAATTGGTAAAAGATGAAGTACAAACTGAAGACTTTCTCCTGCATCATTCCCTTCAAATTTGCATTTCTTCTTCTCTTCATGTTTATTCACCATCTCTTTGCTTTAGTGACTTGCAGTAGCATTGGATTCTGAGTGATGTCACCCACAAGTTCCCTCCTCATTCCTGTTAGCATTTTATAGTGAGTTGTGAAGGGAATCCAGTGGTAGGAGGCTGTACAGGTATAGGCAATAGAGGAGTGCATTGGCTGTAGAGAAGTTCCAAACAATAGCACAATAAAAGTCAGTCTGCTTTTTATGATCACCTTGCAGGAGCAATGCTAAACAATGTTGGTGACAAAATACTTGTCTTCACAGGGTGGACAAATTCCGACTGGGTTCCCCTACCCACTATACACTGCATTTTGGTAAAGAAAGATTAAAATTTTTGAAAGGTGTGAAGATGTTTACATTTCTGTCTACTGTGGTTCTCTTAGAAATGTAATAGTATTTTTTTCCTTTGTCTTCGTGTGTGTGTGTGTGTGTGTGTGTGTGTGTGTGTGTGTGTGTGTTTAGGCAAGGAAACAGTTACTGTTCTTCCAGGAGCCTCTTTTTTCTCCAGCGATGAATCATTTGCGATGATTAGAGGGTATGTAATAATGGAGCCCCTCATGTTTCCCACGGTGTGAAATGAATTGAGTCATCCCCTGAGCACGTGAGCAGGACTCTGAGACATAACCCCATTTTCTAGCCAAAAAACTATCACAGCTTATTTGGCGTCAAGACATTATAAAATTGCTCCCACTGAAGGTTTGACACTGAAATATCCAGCTCACCATTAGGAAAAGAACCCTCAAAGGAATATATATCTTAGTGCCAACTCAACTGAGGAAAACATTTCCACTGTCCATTTTGAAGATCCAGACATTTTCTTCAAATTGTGTGTTCACTCTAGCTGGTGTTTGCCTTCAAATTGAGTTATATTCTTCCTCACTGAAGCAAACAAACTCACTGTGCACATCCGGGCTAGTTTGTTTCTGGTGACTATATAGCCTGTAATTTTTTTTAAGAACTCTTAATGATCATTTCTCTATATCAACTTGGAGCTGATCTGCTTAAAAGTCAGCTGTGAAGAGAGAAAGCAAATGTATTTTGGGGATATATAGAATCATTTTAATGGCTGGTAGTTTCAAGCGAGGAGGACATTAACCTTGTGATATTTGCTTTATATTTTCTTTTTTACTTTTCCAGGGGACATGTTGATTTAACAATGCTAGGAGCAATGCAGGTTTCCAAGCATGGTGACCTCGCCAACTGGATGATACCTGTAAGTAGACAGTTTTTTCTTTCTGAATTATGCTTGGGTTAGATTATTTTGAAATATTAAGAAAAAAAATCTCAAAAAAAGAAAATCTAAAAATGCTGTGATAGCACAATATAACTATAAAAATGAATGAATATTTTGTATATATTTCTTGTTTGAATCAAAGTGTAGAAATTAACAAGCTTTGATAAATATTCAGCATTGTGAGTTTACTATGTAGTTGGAATTTAAAACAAGCAAAGTCAAGGCCAAAATAACATTTTCTTTAGAGAAACAGTTGGAGATAATTTTTTGTATAGGCTAAGTATAGCCTAGTGAAAATAAAATATAATGAGCATTATTATAAATAAGGTTTTATATCTAGAAAGAATACTTAAGAAGTTCATGACTTTTATGTTAATTACATTTTTCTAAGGCAGTGTTTAAAGCCCTTTTTTAAATGGTTGACACCCCCCAAATCAATTACTTTGTCTTTTGTCCTGAATGCAAAACCTGTGATGGTTAAATGTGCTTCTGAAATGCAGTTTTTGTTTAATAATGACCTAAGTCGCCCACGTGGTGGCACACGCCTTTGGTCTCAGCACTCTTGAGGCTCAGGAAGGAGCATCACTGGGAGTTTGAGACCAGCGTGGACTACAAAGTGAGCTCAAGGCCAGCCTGAACTGTGTAGTGAAACCTTGTCTCAAAAAGACCAAAAAGACCTAAATCAAGGAACAAGCCTGTTAGAGTTAGCTTTGAAAAAGGACTGTGATTGGTAAGGCAATACATGTGTTATCTGTTACATTGCAGGCTATTGTTTTCTCACTACATGCATGGAAATGACAGTAGAAATGTGTCCATGATTTTGAGCTTATTTTGGCTGGGAGCTAAGCTTTCTTTTTTCACATGGGTGTTTAAGGATTTCCTTGTATTTCTCCGTAGCATAGGTAAAAGGACTTTTTAACTAAAATCTCTCTTTTTCTAGTAATTTTTTGAGAAAATTAGATTAATACAGTTGATGACAATGTTAGAGATAGTGTTGTTACTTCTATTGATCTAGTACTACTTGAAAGATATTACAGAGTTTTAGTAATTATCAAAGCCCTGAATTTTATACTTGTTATTTGTTAAAATCACCTTGCATTTAAAAAATATCCACGTCTAGATTCTAGCCGTAGAATCTAATTAATCTAGGATCTATCCTGGGTATGGATGATTCAAAAACAAAAAAAGAGATTCTAATATGTGACCAAATTTAGAAAACACATTGAAAAATGATCAAAATCCATTTATACTTAAAATGTAAGAAGAAATACCATGGACTGCTCAAGAGTAGAAACTTTTAGTAAATGACAGATATTATATTATTTGAGTTATAAAATTATCAGTCATTCTAAATCAACTGTAGTTATAAGGGTTGGCAGGTTCTGCAGGTTTCAAAGAATCAGGTAGGGTTTCCTGAGCATCATTAAGTGAGTCAGATGGACAGTTTATTGGAATACTTATTGCTGTAAGAAAGCAGAATGTATTTCTATTTTCAGATTTTATGAAAAATGCAATATGGGATAGTAAAAGAAGCATAGGAAAGCAAGTATCTGGGTTTTTGCCCTGACTCTACCAGCAAGCAAGGTATAATCTTGAACATATTGCTTAAACTCTGTGTTAAAATATCCTCAATGGTAAAATGAGGATTTAAGACTAGTTGATTTTTCTGGTGCCATCTGGCTTTACTAATTTAATGCTTAAAGAAACAGGAATAAATCTGGGTTGAAATCCTACTTTTGTCACTTGCTAGTAGTGTAACTTGAGCCATTACTGGCATTTCCTTATCTGTAAAATGGGAATAATATAATTGTACCTAGTTTATAGGACTATATAAAGGAATTTATGAGGAAAAGCACAAAGTACTGGATCACAAAGCTCAACATATAATGTGTGGTAAATAAACGGGTCAGTATTTTGATATATATGTATATATATGTATTTTTTTGTCTTTTTGAGACAGGGTCTTGCTATGCAATTCAGACTGGTCTTGAGCTCACTTTGTAGCCCAGGCTGGTGTTGAACTCACAATGATCCTTCTGCCTCAACCTCCCAATTGTTGGGATTACAGGCGTGTGCCACCACTCCCAGCAGTGTTTTGATAAATAAAGAAGAAGTTGAAGACTCTTGACAAAGAAAGGAACAGCATTAGTCACTGGAGAAAAGCAGTAGGGTTGCAAATGTCTATTTCTCTGAATTAGTATACTTTGGAATTCATGGGTTTCCAAAGGAGTGGACCTGGTGGCATGATGGTGCAGAATTCTGGGATATCATGGAGTAACATCAAAGGATAAAAAGTGTTTTTAAGTCTGCTTCCATTATTTTGATAATGGAAGTTGGTAGTGTCCTTTCTGATGGGACTTTTGTGGTTGTTGTTCATATAGTAACTAATAATCACTTCCTGACTTCTGTGTGTGTGATTTATAGTGTATAATTTCATTCTTTAAGGTTCACTCAGAACAGCTTCAGAGTCAAGATTATGAGGTTTCATTTGGAAAAGAGTTTTAATCTGAGGTCTACCTCTTACAAATGATATGATCTGCAACTTTTTTTTTTAGTATTAAGTGAGAAGAAAATGAAAGTGAACACTGAAGCACTCTACAAATAGTGGCTATTATTTTCTTTTTCTTTAAAGCTTTATCACTTAACATTTTGAAAAGGGAGTATTAGGCTAAAAATACACAGACACAAGCAAGAGGATTTTGCAAGAGGCAGTGTGACTTATTTATCCTAAATTCTCTTTGTGGATACATCTCTTGCTTTTGTTGGTAATAGTTAAGATATATCCTACCATCTTATGTAGAATCAGTAGGCAATCTTTCTATTTGTCCAAAAGATTTATGTCTATTTATACAATTTATATACATTTATATTGCAAGATCTGACAGTCAAGAAGCTGAAAAATTCAGCTTTATTATATCATTTTTCATTTAGTTTTATCTTTCACTGAGTTTAATAATATTTCAGTGGTTGCATAAGCCCTGAGTTTTCAGCATCTTGGCATCACCATCAGTCATACAGTGTCAGATTATAATAAACATTAAGCCATAAGACAAAGAAACACTGTGGGCACTTTTTACCCTTTAATAGCTCCTTAGTATGCAGCATTGGTCCCACGTGGTTGGATATTTTTAAACAATTTTGTCCTAAGCATCCAAAAAGAGAAAATTTGACAAAATAGTATTTCACTCCTGCAGGTTCTCTGCTTACTATGAGGGTGGTAAAAACCATAGGCAAGCTAGGAAAGGATGAAACAACATACAGGCCACAGAATCAACATTCAGATCTGCTCTGGTGCCTTCCTAATGCCTATTTTTGGAAAACAGCTGGCATAAATTATTGGCTTATGAAGGGAAGCAGATACTTCTGATCAGCTATGAAATCTAGTTATTCAAAGCATAAAATAGCAGCCTATTGGACAGGACCACTGTGCTTAAGTGGCGCTAGAGACAAGGGCCCTCTCCTTACATGTGGAGAGGATTGAAATGGGGCATTCCTAAGGCAAAGGAAAATGGGACATTTTTGATGCTTGTTTTTCCTTCACATTTTTCCTTCTTTGTGCATTTGAAAAGAACAAATACAAATTAATATTGTACTTATGTATGCTACATATCGGAGTACATATAATTGATTGAATCCTCTAACATAATGTCTGTTTTTAAAAAACTAATCTGCAGTCTTCCCAATTAAACACTCTTTGTTCAAGATTCAGTCAGTTTAGTTGCATCAATTGTGTAGTCCAATATTAAACCCAGAGATATGTAAATAGAAATATGTAGATTACTATCAGATGAAGACTGCACATCTAGATGTAGTTTTAACATAGTGATTTAGTGTGCTGGTTAGCATATTCTTCATTTGGACCTAATACTCAGGAAAGTGCAAACCATCAGTAAGAAAAATGGGCAGGTAGAAAATATATATACACATAATAGTGTGAAGTGTTTTCAGTTACTATGTAATGCTTGTTTCTTATTAATTCAACATAGTGAAAGCACTGAGGACTTCTAGGTAGACTTACTTGTGATTAAATACTTGTCCTTTCACATCATTTCCTCTTAGTGTAGTACTGCGTTGTCAGTGGTACTAATATCTAACTCATTATTGCTTGTCCTGGGGAGTAAGTTAATTCATTCACGTAACAGATATTTATAACATATATCTAAGGGTCATCCATTGTTCTAGTTTTTTAACAAAACAGACAATATTCTTTGCACATCTGGAGATGGTATTCTAGCAGAAGTTGGCAAACTATGACCCATGTACCAAATCTGGCCTATAGCCTGTTTTTATAAATAAAGTTTTATTGAAACAGCTATATATACTCATATACATATTGTTTATGATTATGTTTGTGCTACAGCAGCAGAGATGAGTAATTAGGATAGAAGTTGCTATGTTTTAATGTAGCCCCCAAAGTTCATGTGTTGAAAACTTAATCCCCAATGCAATTGTGTTAGGAGGCAGGGACTAATAAGAGACTAGGTCATGAGGGCAGAGGGTTAATGAACTAATGGAGGCTATGGATTAATGTCATTACTGTTAGTTAGGTGAAGAATTATAAATGTGGATTTGATCCCCTCATGCTGCCTTGTTTTATGAGATCTTTGGCCCTCCCCATTTCTGCCATGGTATGATTCAGTAAGGAGAGCCTCATCAGATGTGGCCCTTTGCTCTTGGACTTCTCAGCATACAGAAGTGTATGAAATAAATATTTCATCCTTGAATATTACCCAGACTCAGTTTTCTTTGATAGCAACACAAAGCAGGCTAAAATAAGGCTATATGACTTTCAAAGCCAAAAATATTTACTATTTGGCCATTTTTTAAAAATTTATTTTAAAAATAACAGAAGGAAAGCATATTAACAAACAGACATCCATTTACAAAATAGCATAAGAACAATACAAGCAATACTGAATTACAGACAAAGTGGTAGGAAATTAACAATGATTGTGGTATTACGTATTGATATCTTCAAA